CCGAAGTTTAGAGATATTCCTGCCCTCTAATCAAGGTATACTCGTGTCTCTCAAAAAAAATGCAGATGTGGGTTTTTTGCGTTTCTTCAATGCATAAACTATTCAAACCAAAATACACTATTTTTTTCTAAGGTTATACGATCATTCGTGGAGAAACTTCCTGTTCTTTTCGAGAAACCAACTAGTTCTTCCAACTGCATTGGATCTGCGCTGAAAATCGTGCACGAATTGATAGTAAGTCTTGCGACTTTTTGTTTGGATTTTGGCTGCCGAATACTTTGTAAATTTGTTTGCGGAAATAAATCAACTGGAATAGGTTACGATAGTTTTTGTTTGAAGCCGATATGTGTCTTTTTTTCCCGCTGTCTCTATCAGCGCAATTTGATCTTGCAGATGTTTTCAATGTTTATCAAAGATGCTTGTGAATTATTGATCTCAACATCAGTTTTATAAGCTCTTTTCTTTTACTCTAAAGAACCTTTCGATCTTTCTACTATTGAGGCTTCATTCTGCTATCGTCAGGACACACACTTAAGTCTTGCAATTCAAAACAAAACGAAAAGGTAGAATTTAAAACATTTGCCTCTGTCATTTTATCATTGTTAGTAAAAGTTGGATGATATGATATAAGTCTTTTTCTAAAGTAAGAAACGCCTGCACAGCTTCGCGAAGTTTCTGCCTTGCAATTCACTGTAAGCTATTTCGAAGAAAAAAAGGAGATATGGACACGCTCCCACGCTTCTAGCTTATGCGTCGGTGAAATGCTCGACATAGTTACGAGGACGGCGTTTCAGTAATAAAGATCAAAAGCCCATAAGCAGCGAAAATTTTGATCTCCCATGCAATCATGCGTTGTTCATTTATGTTGTTTATTGCTGTTTTGAAGAACTCCTTATGCAGATGCTTAAAATCTTACATATTTTCCTTTTGGCAATGTTTCCAGAAAGCAGCAGTGAGTCAGAACACTCTTTCTAAGTGATTAGAAAAAAATGTGAGGGATTGCTGTAAAAAGGGTCAAAGCTCTGAATCATTTGACTTACATAGCAGCAGTATTCGATCTTCTAGGCAGAAATTGGGGGTCGTATCACAGTGTTCCAAACCACGCTTCCAACGCTAGGTGCAGCTTCTCTGAAACCTAGAGAGGATCCTAACCAAAGAGCCGGAAATGTAAGTTGTTTGTTAGTTAAAATCACATTGCTTTTCGCTATTGAATTAAAGGATGTTCAAAATTTGGTCCCGGCTACCGACTTCTACAAAACTCTCGCCTTGGAATGCACGGGACATCAAGTTGCTCTAGATTTATTCTTGTTGAATACCCATTATGCAGATCTTGCTACCTTATGTGAGTCTACTTCTGGATTTCCTT